CTTAAATTTTGTCATATCATCAATTAATATATTAGTTAGTATACTAATTAATATATATAATATTAATTATATTTTTTATTATTCAATATAAATTTATAAATTTTATCTCTTTCACCGATCATAACATTATTAAAGTAACCATATGACTTATACTCTAAGATCAACCTATAATCTCTCCTAACTCCGACCTTTTATCAATCAACTTTCAACGCCTAACTACGTTTTATTTTTAAATTTTTTTGGCTTCATTTTCATAGGTCCATTATTTAATGATGTTTATTATTACGTAAAAATAGATTATGGAAGGGACTGGATTTCTCTCAGTTTGAATATCTAATTGGAGCATTCACTTCGGTTTATTATTAGGTTATGTTGGACATAATTTTTTGAATTAAAATAGTAATAAAAAGATAAAATAAATTAAAAAATTAATAACACAAAATATTTCATTTAAATCATAGTTATTTTACTTTTTCTCTCACAAAAGTTAAAAAAGTAAAAAAATTTATCCCAAACCAAACTTTTTAGTCTCACGTTAAAGTAATCAAAAAAATCAAAAAGTTAAAAATCCAATCTACATCCCGAACGAAGGAGTAGTCTATTTTGAGTTTTTTTTCGATTATTTAAGTTATTTATTTTGAATTTTTTTTTTTCCAGGAGATTAGACATATCAAAAATCAAGTCAATCGGACATTGAAAGTCATTTGGTCAAACGGAAATGAGCCGTAGCTCGAATCCAATGGCTCGAATTGGCTCGAAAGAGGGAGAGAAGAGAGGAGGAAGAAGTAGAGGAGAAAGAGAGAGAGAAGAGAGGAAGAACAGAGGAGAAAGAAGGAGAGAGGATCGTCGCTGCTCGCCTCGCCACCGCCACCGCCGTCGCCTCGCTGCCGCCGATCGTCGCAGCACTAGCGATCGCCGGCTCTGCCTCGCCTCCGCCTCCCGGCCCCCGCTTTCCAGCCCCAAATATTGGGCCCCCTCCAGTCCCTCCTCCTTCCTCCTTCCTCCTCCCTCCTCCCTCCCCTGCTTCTGGTTTTGCTTCACCTTCATCTAAAAAACGAGGCCGTTTTTAAATTCGAGCCATTTCGAGCCGCTCGGTTTCAAGCTACCTATCACTGCCGTTTGGTCAAATCACATTTATTTGAAAAATAATTAATAGATAACATAATTTTAAAAGTAATCCACTAGTTATTTTTTAGACAAATATGATCCGATTGAGTAGTTCTCGATATCCGATCGATCTAATTTTTGATATGCATGTTAGGCAATCTTCACTGTATTTAAATTAATTAAATGTAATGGTTTTGAGCAACCAAATATACCACGTGAATCACAACGCGGCATAGAACGCGTTACCACTTTAACCCGAGTTAATCGACACTCGGGGCCCACCTAAAAAATAGACCTAACTTAGGAAAAAATTAACCATTTCCAACAATGCATAATCTTCTAAAAATATCTTACAAAATAAATAATTTGTATTATCGAGACGGACTCAAAATGTGCTCACAATAGACCAAACTAGATGGTCCAGCTGAAATATCCAATTAGGGAGAATTTAGTTGAAATCTAGTTCTTAAAATGATCCAATGGCATAAATTTTAAGTTAATGTCACACTCAATGATTATAAATTATTGATTTATTTTTTAAATAATTTTTTAAACAAGTTTTCCAGATTTGTAATATTATTACTGTTATATAATTACGTCGCGGAGAGAGAGTAATGGCCATTAGTAGCAAAAGCTTAAGACATTTATTTTTTAAAAAAAATTATTTATTTCACTGTCAAAATATTTACACTTGATTTATAATTTTAAATTCGTATATTAAAATTTTTTATGATTAAATAATAGAAATATTACTTGCCGGTGGGAGTACCAAAAAATTATTATAAAATCATGAAAAATTTATAATTTTAATTATTAACGTATATAAAGTTTACTATTTATTTGTAATTTTTTAAACATTTATACAAGATTGAAATTTTCCCTTAAATAATTATGAATATTTTAAAAACAAAGTAATAAAATTGATTTTGTTTTCTAAAATAGGCTTGACTGTGAAATTCAAGGTTTTAAATGAAGATATTGAGAATTAAATTTGTATTGAAAATCAAGTGATAATTGAGAATTTTTTATATCACCAATTAACGAAAAAAAGAGCTTTGTAGTCATTGAAGAGATGGTATCAGTCATAAATCAAATTATGCATTGCTATGAAGTGATACAAATTAAGAACGGCCGATCTATAAACAATTTTCATTCTTGCGAGTCTATTCGTAAAAAAAAGGGTGAGGTTTTTCTTCAATTTGTTATCAGATTAGAGGGTATTGTTAGGTCTGTGAAAACTCATCACGAGTCTCGTTTCGATAATCCGAACCGTTTAATATGTAAAACGCATCAAGTATTATATATTTGTAAAAAATTACGTTGATCGGATATCGATAGTTATTTTATCGGATCAGATTTCTGTCAACTGTTTATTTTTTGACCGTCACTTTTTTTTATACAAAACTGATTTGATCATGTAATTATCAATATCTGATCAACATGATTTTTTTCCAACCATATAGTACTCAATGAATTTTACATATTGAATTATTTAAATTATCGAAACAAAATTCATGATGAACCCTCACAGATCTAACAGTACTTTTCAGTTTAATCAAACTAAAAAGAAGCCAGTTCCTAAAATATGAAAATAAAAAAAAATAAATATTTATCATTAATCTATTATGTGCCGTTTTACCAACTTGCAGCTCTTTTCAAAAAAGTCAAAATAACTTTTTACCATTACAACAATCATTTGGAGAGGTGAAAAAAAGTTATTGGTAAAATTACATCTATACCTTTCATGGATCAAAATGAGCCACATATAAATGAAATTGTAAATTTATTAAATTAGATGAGAATGTTTTGATCATTTAATTATAATGTGATAACATAAATAAATATTAAAAAAAAAAAGTTAAAAATAATTTTTTATTAACTTTTCAAATCATTTTTTAAAAAAAAAAACCAAAAAATCCAATAAAAAATTAAAAGTCAAATTTTTACCCTATTTCCAAAACAATCCTATGTATAACTTGAAATTTAAGAACATGTTATTCCACACTTTCCACCCAAATAACATGTTACTCTTTCTTTCTTTCTTTTCTTTTTTTTTTTTTTTTTTTTTTTTTTTTTTTTTTTTTTAGGAAAGAAAATAACATGTTACTTGAGTTCTTCATTTTCTTGACCCACATGGCTACCTAGTACCCTAGTCAATGTTTCACCCAACCTTTACTATAAGATAAGATAAGATAGGTACGAGGTCTAGAGAACATTTTATAAAATTTCTTCTTTTATACTTGTCTTATTTTATTTCTTAAATTATCAATTGAAATAATTATTTTTTAAAATTATTGATATTAATTTATTTTATTCTAAAGCTCCGTTTGAGATATACATTTATACTAAAATAACCATATAAGATAAAATAGATTATTTTAATTAAATAGAATAAAATATCACATCTAACTCATAATCATTTCATTTTTTCTCTCACAAAAGTCAAAAAAATCAAAAAATTTATTCCAAATGAGACTTTTTAACTTCAGACTAAAATAATTAAGAAGTCAAAAAATTAAAAATAAAAAATTAACTCACATCCCAAACAAACTCTAAATCATTAATAAGATTAATATTTCTCTTTTATTGAAATATCATACTTGCCAACTGAGACACACATAAGTACACACATGAGTAATTGAGAGTAGCGATTCATTTGGCTTTTTCATTAGACAAATATTTAGATACCATGGAACAAAATATGATTAATTATTTTAAAAATATTTAGCTAAAATGAGATCAATTGTAAAACATCTCTAACAAATTAGTTATTTTTATTTTGTTGCTAAAATAGTGAGAAAATTACTAAATTTTACCTTTATCAAACTAGCTATTAAGCCTCCGTTTGAAAAATTGGTTAGTTTTTTGACTTTTTGATTTTTTTAGCTATTTTAGCGTGGGCTAAAAAACTTGGTTTGGGAATGACTTTTTGACTTTTTGCAGTTTTTTGTGAGAAAAGAATATAATGATTATGGGTTGAATGCGATATTTTATTTGTTGTGACTAAAATAACTTATTTTGTCTTTTGTGACTAAAATAACCCCAAACCTCCTTGCCAAAAGTTAGTTTTAGTTTTTGGTGATTTTGTCTCCAAACTGTAACTAGTGATTTTTCCTAGTCAAACATTAAGAAAATATTAACTTTCATATTTTGAAATTAATTAGGTTGAGTTTATAAAAAATAATTCTAAATTAAAATGAGTAAAAATAATATTTAAATAATATAAAAAAAGAATAGACAGTTTATTGGATAATGTATTTAATTAGATGGATAGCCAAAATAAAAATAATAACTTTCAAGTCAAAATATAACAAAATTCTAACTAGTTTAATGTAGATGCTCAAAACTCATGTCAATAAATATTTGGGTAAATTATATTTACACCACCTGAGGTTTAGATTTAATATATATCACCCTTGACGTTTGTGAAATTACATTAACCCTTCTGTTATTGTAATTATTTAGACAAAATGTAAATATTGAGCTCATGCACTCTTTATTTTCTTTCTTTATGTTATTTGTTTTGTTTTGTTTTTTGTTTTGTTTTTTTTTTTCCCTTCCTTTGCTTTATTTTTTTTTTTCTAATGTAATTTTTTCTATTTTTTTACTAAGAGTTATTGCCTTTTTATGTAAGCAGAGAGAGTTTGTGAAATGAGGCTATTAACTAAAGGGTGAGAATGTAATTTTCAAAACGATAAGGGATGGAATGTAATTGGATCGAACCTCATGGGGGTGTTAGTGTAATTTACCATAAATATTTTTAAGAGAATAATTGTTTAAGAGAGTAATTGTTTAAATTGATAATTTACGGAACAGACTGAATCAAGTGTGATAGTTTGAGGTTAAAAAAAAAAAAGAAGTGATTTTTTTCCACAGGAGAAAAACAATTTATAAGGCAGATGTGTTGTTCAAAAAATAAATTAGAGAGAGAGAGAGAGAGAGAGAATGGCAGTAGCAAGCCCAGCTTTGGCTACAAAAGTTTTTGAAGAGGGAAAGTTGAGTGTGAAATCTATGAAAGTGGAGGAATCAAGTGAATCATCATCACCACCAAAGCCATTGCTAATTGTTACACCAACGTTGGAAGGCACATATCCTATATTGTTGTTTTTCCATGGATTCTTGATACACAACACTGCCTACGAAAAGCTTCTCCAACATGTATCTTCCCATGGATTCATAGTCGTCGCTCCTCAGGTCTCTCTTCTCTCTCCTCTCTCTCTCTTTCTCTCTTGCTGTTTGGTTCAAAGGATTTAGGATGGGTTTGGAAACGAGAAGAAAAAAAATGATAAAATATACATATATTTATCTAATTTTACATATATTTTTTATTTTTATTTTTTTCAAATTTATTAACCACACACAATTTTAAAATGCTTTTCAAACATTTTGATTAATCATTTTATTTAGTTTAACCCCCCTTTTTAATATAATTATTCGATTAGTTTTTTGGTTTTACTTTTTTGGTGTTTATTTTTAAATTTTGTTTTTATGTTTTTAGATTCAACTCAATGCCTCCTAATTGAAAAATTAAATTTAAAATAAAAAAAAAAGTCTAGGCAAGATAAAAATAAGTAAAAAATAGTAAATTTTATTTTTTTATTTTGACTTTGTCAATTCTTGTAAGTATTTTTTTTTTTAGATTCATGTCTACACAGAAAGGATTAAGAAATAAAATTTTTTGACATAATTTTTTTTAAAAACACAAATATGATTGATTTTTAAAAAAAATTTTTTTTTTATGAGATCTCAAACCTCTAACTTCCAATTGTTAGGCACTTCTGTAACGATGAAATCCTCATTTTTTGATATTTTTTTTTTTTTTTTGGGTAAGATATTAAGGGTTGGTTTGGGGGGTGGGTTGATTTTTTGGCTTTTTGACTTTTTTGACTATTTTAGCTTGGGTTAAAAAGTTTGGTTTGAGAAGGGTTTTTTGATTTTTTAGCTTTTTTTGTAAGAGAAGAATATAATAATTATGGGTTAGATGTGATATTTTATTTTTTGTGACTAAAATAGCATGTTTTATCTTTTGTGGCTAAAATAGTCAAAACAGCCTACTTTAGTTCTTTCCAAACGGTGCCTAAATGATGATTTTTTTTTGGATAAGGTATTAAACAATTTTTTTATTAATATTTTAGTGTACCGTATAATTATGTGACGTGTTCTTGGAGCATTTTTAATGTTTACTTAGATAGTTTATTAAATTTAAATAAAAATTTGAGTCGAAGTTTGATCTGATGTGTTACGCTCTCATCATTTCATCAAATTTAGCTGATCGTCCGATCAATCATCCGTTTTAGAGCAAATTTTTTGCAAAACTTCTTCAAGTCAGTCATCCACCCGGTTAACCGGTCGGTTGTCTACCAATTGTAACTTGCAAAATTTGATAAAAGATTAAACGCTTTTTTGATTTGATGAAAAATTTGGCATCAATTTCATTTGATATGGGTTTGGTAGAGCAGAAAAAAAAAAGACGTGTTTCATTAAATCTAAATTTAATAGAATATTTGAGTAAGCATTGGAAACGCGCTTAAGAGCTTGTTTGGTATCTCCTAAATAAATGCACTTATTTAGATCAAATTATATTATTTTTTTATAAAAAATCAAAAAATACACATAAGCCTCTCCCGTATTTCAATTTTTACCTTGTTGGAATAGAGAAGCCTTTGAACTGGTAGGAAACTCATTTCCTAGGTCGCTTTTTACCTTATTGCAATAGAGAAGTCTTTGATCCAGTAAGAAACTCATTCACGTCTGAGAATTGATTATTTTAGTTAATATTTTGATGTTTTATTAAAAAATATATAAAAAATAAAAAATGTTATGTGACAATTTATAATAATTTTTTAACTTTTTAATTAAAAATTTAACTTTTCAAACAAAGCCTAATTAATTGCTAAGCTAGTTTGTAATAAAAATAAAATTTTAAAAATCCTAATTACATTTTTGACCCTAATGCATGTGTTCGTTAAACTAATGCATGTTTTCTTTAAAAAAAGCACTGAAATTTCACCTTGGTTCAAAAAAAAAAAAATTTAAAAATTTAAAATTTGACTCTTATAACAAAATAAATCTTAATTTTTTTAATTTTGTCAATTTAAACTCTAATATTTTAATTTGTTTTCAATTTAAATTATTTATCTATTTTCTTTAGATATGAAAAAATAATATTTTATTCAAATACACCAATCAAGCTCATGAATACAAAGTTAGATTTTGCTCACTATTGAATTTTCAGCAACAATTTTTTTATGTGTTTTCAAATTTATCTAATTTGGGCTCTTAAACATTTGAACCCAAACATACATCATAAGCAATCCTCCAAAACTTTCTTTTCAGAGTAAACTAATATTTATACATAAAGACTCATCACAGTTGCTTATAATGAAGTCTTTGTGTATATCTCAATAACTGATATAGATATGATGGAGACTTATCTCACCCTTAGAGTAATTATTGAGATAACTAAGACTTATGTTACGCTCAAAGTAATTGCTTATGATGGAGACTTATCTTCGGCTTATCTCTTTTTCTCTTATCTTCAGCTTATCTCATACTCAGAGTAATCTTCCAAAACTTTCTCTGCTTTGACAAAACTCAGTGTAAACTTTCTTTGCTTCGGCTTAACTTCTTGACGAAACTTAGAGTAATTGCTTCCAGTTTAAAACTTTCTTTGCTTCGACCAAAACTCAGAGTAAACTCTCATCCAAGAGGGAGACGATGATGGAGATGGAAACGACGGCAGCGGTGAGAAACCGAAGATGAGAGAGATAGATCTAGGTAAGGAGAGAGAGAAGGATCTAGGGTTTTAAACTGGTAATTGAGATCGATGAGAGAAAGAGAGAGAAGAGCAATAGGAGAGAGAGATAGAGAGTGTGAGATATATAAATTTCTCTGTGAGGACTTTATACATCAAAAAATAATATTGTGGATCTCTTTCATTACTAAAAATGAGAGAGGAACCTTACACTAATTTCCTCTAAAATTAATCTGCACATACCTCGACTACTTTTGAGAACTTCATAAATTACTGTTTTTCTTGTTAATATCAATGTTGGCACTAAAAATGCATCAATTAGCTTTTCTGTTGTTCAGGCAAACATTTTCATATAATATTTGTTATCATATATGTATTTATTTACGGGTTAAATTTAATTTGGACCACCTGCAAACTTGAATGTCATTTACACCTAATCCAGATCGATCAATTTAACTAGATGCCCATGAACCCTCTCGATGCCCATAACTAGCAGGAGTAAGAGTATTTTGTACTGCCTGAACGTCTCTCGATACATTGCATCTTCTTATACCTTTAATTTCATATTTTTAATGAAATTTTTACTTTGTTGATAAAAAAAAAAATGCCCACAAACCCTCACGTTTACAGGTAGTCCAAATTTAATTTAATCGCATTTATATATGTATGTACGTGGTGACACGCATATTTGTATTTCCGATGTGAACCAACTCCAATTATTTTTTCAGACTTGATTATAACTGGAAATGAAGAAGTCAATTTGGCTGGGGAAGTCACAAACTGGTTAGCCACTGGCCTTCAATCCATGCTCCCGGAAAATGTCAAAGCAAATCTTCTCAACCTAGCCGTTGCCGGCCATAGTAGAGGTGGAAAGACTGCATTTGCCCTTGCACTAGGCCATGCCAAAACCCAACCATCCCTCAAAATTTCAGCTTTAATAGGACTTGACCCTGTTGCCGGTCTAAGCATAGATGACCAAATCGAACCCAAAATCCTCACCTATGTACCTCATTCTTTCGATTTACCGGTACCGATCTCAGTTGCTATCATCGGTACCGGCTTAGGTCATGAAAAAAGTAATGCCATAGTCCCAGCATGTGCCCCAAATGGAGTGAATCATTGCGAGTTCTTCACAGAATGTAAACCGCCAAGTTGGTATTTTTATGCCAAGGACTATGGTCATGTGGACATGTTAGATGATCCAAATTTGATATTAAGTCTTGCTTGTGTGAGTGGGGAGGGTGACAAGGACCCATTTAAGAAATGTTTAGGAGGGGTATTTGTAGCATTTTTAAGGGCTTGTTTGGATGGTGAGAATGAAGATCTCAAGTGCATTGTGGAAGAACCTACTATTGCTCCTGTAACACTTGATCCTGTCATCCACATTGAAGCATAAGGTAACGTCCAAGCTCTAATGAATTGTTCCACTATTTAAAAATAAAGGGCAACTCAATGCGTAAGATTCTAATTATTCTAAAGTCTGAAAAAAGATTAATGTGCCCAGTCTTATCTCACATATGTAGAGATTGTTCCACTATCCAAGAATAATAATAAATAAGTAAATTGTCCAATTATTTATGTGATAATTGTGCTCAATATGTAAATTGTCCAATTATTTATCCCAATTTGATATTATCATGTTTTATGTACATAAGCAATGCATATGATTTTAGAGAATATATATATATATATATATATATGCTTGCATTATCCGCTTGTGTTCATGTTTGATGGCTAAGTTCACAAAAAAAGAAGAAAATAAAAGGAAAAGAAATATCTGTTGTTCAATCTGTACACAGGCGGTTACATCATAATGAAACCCATTTGAGTTCCTCATATGCCTACAGACCTTATTAACAACGTGTGTGTATATATATATATATTTTTGGGGGGATTATAACTATGATATTTGTAATTTGTCTCGTCTTAATTTGGTACATGCATTTAGAATTGAATCATTTTTGCTCTTTAATTTTTAACATCGGGTCAATTTAGTCTAATTAATAACTTTCATTTAGAATTCGGGATAAAAATTAATGACAAAATAGTCCATTCATTAAGAAATTGACTATGTCAAATTAGACTCCAACATCTTTGAAGAAAGTGAATTGACTATTTTTTTCATTGATTTCAATTTAATTTATAATAAGATTTATTAATTCGATTAAATTGACATAATATAAAAAATTTAAAAATAAACTTGATGTAGAATTACCAAATTAACACAAGAAGAAAACTACAATAACTACAAATATATTTTGTTTATATTTTTTTATCAACAAAAATAAAATAATATTTTATTAACAATAATAAAACATTACAAAGGAATGTTTCTATTAGATATATACATATATATATATATATATCTACTACTATTTTAAAAAGTGAAAGGATGCGGAGTGTTTTCTACTTTTTTTGGGTTCCACAAATACCCTTATCAAAATAATGAAATTACTTATTAGCCTGGTCTCGCTTGGTAACGTTACCAATCTGTTTGAAGAATCACCTGTTGAGTAACGCTGACAACAGTTTCGGGTAGGAATGGCAATTTGAAACCAGCCCGATGGGGACCCGACCCCCTGATCCCGAATTGAGCGGGTTTTCCTCGAAAAATACCCCCACGAGGACAGGGATGGTATTTAAAAATTAATCCCCGAACAGATTCGGGCCAGGGACGGGGATAAGTGTTTCAACCCCGTACCCGGCCCGATCCCGTCCCCGTTCCCCGGTCCGGTTTATCCCCGAACTTATCCCCGTATATATATACTTTCCTATTCACTATCTATCCTCATCTATTCACTGATTTCACAAAATCCATTCTCCTCCACATTACTCTCTCTCTCTCTCTCTCTCTCTCTCTCTTCTCCTTACCTCCGTTGCTGCCTTGTCACCGACCACCACCAATCGTCAATGGAAGAACTACTTTCTTATTTCTTCTCCTCTGTCCCTCTCGGTCTCACGCTTTCTCTCTCAGATTTGATCACACCCCGTGAATCACTAACAGATCTTGAATCACCACATCGCCGATCACCAACAGATCGTGAATCACTCTCGGAATCAGATCGTGAATCAGCCAACAGATCGTGAATCAGCCCTTAGATCATGATTCATGGAGTGAACCGTGAAGCGCTCTCTCTCTCTCTCTCTCTCTCTATATATATATATATATTTTTAGATGATGAACTTGTTGTTGTTAATGATGAAATTTTTTGAAACTTTTCTAAATTTTTTTTTGTTTCAGATCTGTTTTTAGATGATGAACTTCTTGTTGTTGTTGATGATGAGTTGTATTTTCTGAAACTTTTTTTAGATGATGAACTTGTTGTTGTTGTTGATGATGAAATTTTCTAAAAATTTCTGAAACTTTCTAAAATTTCTGAAACTTTTCGGAAATTTTTTTTGTTTTAGATTTGTTTTTAGATGATGAACTTCTTGTTGTTGTTGTTGTTGTTGATGATGAGTTATATTTTTTGAAACTTTTTTTAGATGATGAACTTCTTGTTGTTGATGATGAAATTTTCTGAAATTTTTTTTAGCCGGGGAATGCTCGGGGTCGGGGAAACCCGATCCCCGTTGGGGGCGGGGGTGGACGGGAGAGGGGGTGGTGACAGATTCCCCGTCGGGGCTCGGGGCCGGGGCCGGGGTCGGGGAAAATTCGAGCATCGGAGATCGGGGACAGGGAGTGTGATCCCCGGCCCGGCCCCGCCCCGTTGCCATTTCTAGTTTCAGGATACAACAAGTCTTATTAAATAGGGTCGGTTACGTGAATCCTTCGCCACTTGACTTTATCAAAGGTCATTTGGTTAGTTAAATTAGGAAGATTCATATATCTATTTACTACACTATCCCACGTCAATCTAGGTCTGCCCCATCCCCTAATACTTCCCTCTACTGTCACTATATCGCATCTCTTCACTACTGTATCTATTGGTCTCCGTTGTATATGACCAAACCGTCCCAATCTATTTTCTATCGATGCTACTCTTACCCATTCACGAATATACTCATTCTTAATTCTATCTTTTCTAATCTTGTCACACATCTACCTTAGCATCCTCATTTTAGTAACACTTATCTTATTTACATGTTGTTTCTTAATTGCCTAACATTTCATCTCATACAACATCGCTAATCTAATAGCCGTTCTACAGAACTTTCCTTTTAATCTAGTGGGTACTTATTTATTGCACAGTACCTCAGACGCATTCCTCCACTTAAGTCACCCCGCCTTAATTTTATAGATTACATCTACTCCAATCTCTCTAGTCGTTGTGATAATCGATCCTAAATAATGAAAAAATCCACTCTCAAGTAGTTCTTGGTTCTCAATCTCTACTTCTCCTCTATTTCCATTGTTACTATTACTAAAATTACATTCTATGTACTATGTTTTAGTTTTATTTATCGTAAATCCTTTAGATTCAAGTATTTCTCTCTAAGTCTCTAACTTAGTGTTAGCTCCTTTAGTCTTATCTACTAAGACGATATCATCTACAAAAAGTATACACCATGGCATATCATCCTAAATATTTCTTGTCAACTTATCCTGAAAATTTCAAAGTATAAGCTATTAGTCCCTTGCATTACTATTTCCTAATCCTTAAAAAGTGTCATATACTGTGTATGGCTTCATTTCCCAACTTGACATGCAATTTTTAGCCAAAGTCATACAAAATACTAATTTTGTACAAACTTATCAAGCATCCCAAGTGGGCAATTCACATGAGAAATAAAAAAAAAAAAATGATTATGATCTCTTATCTTGGTGAGGAAAAAAACACAATTATTATATTTCCTTATTACCATGTTTGGATGGTATTAAAATAAACCATGTGAAATAGGGATATAGATGAAAATTCTTTCCTTTTGCTGAGTAATCTTGATATATTATAACAATTATACAGCCAAGCAGTAATTTTCTCACAAATCTCACCATTTTGGATTAAAATAAAAGTGACATAACAAGAGAGATCTCGCTCTTTCCGTCTCTTACCTAATTTGTAAACCAAACATAAGAATTTTCTTTTCTCATCATTTATTTCTCCTCAAATCATTAAATCTAAATGGGTTGTTAAAGTAGTCAACCACTCAGTTTATTATTATTAATTTTTTCAATGTTATCCCCTTTGGAGTTGGATCTTAGAGAAATTGGAGTTGCCTTTAGTGGTTTAAGATGTTTAACATATTGCCACTGGCAACACGAACTTTGAAGTATTATGCTTTAAAATCTTAAATTTCGTTACTACTATATCATAATATAATTAAATGTGCATCGATTTTCTATATCATTTTCAAATTGCAATCTTTATAGCGAATATTATAAATTTAGATACATTAGTATGTATTTCTTTTGTCTTTGAATTTTTTTTTTTTCACGTTATTATTTGATTGGGGTGTAGCAATTCCTTCATCAAGTCAATTTGTTCCGAGTATTGTATTACGTCTAATTTGTTGTGCCATCTTTGATACCATGATTGTGATTAAAGCAAATGATCTAATTCTAGCTGGCTAAGGAATGATGGGCATCTTTGTGTCTTTTATACCATATAGATAAATTCAATTCTACCATGTTGTCCTCCAAAATTTAAAGAAATATAAACCAAGTTGACGTTTATCATTTTATTTTATTCATGTGTAACAGTAGAACCCACCACTCTTAACCCTTAGCATATAAAGACAAAGGATGCAAAAAAGTTAATATAGAGTTTTTTTGGAGTAAATTTTAAAAACTTTTCTCGTGCATTGCACGTGCATTTTTACTAGGGATATAAAATAATAAAACATACAAATTTTTTTTTTTGGTTTTTTTTTTTTGATTTTATTCAAATATATCAAAATTTGTTAGTCAATTTCTTTATATATATTTTTTTATATAAAACGTATATTCATTTTTTAATGGAATTTGATTGCTATACAATTGGTTTCCTATAATCTCCGGATCGGCAAGGTAAAACCAATTGATGAAGCCTAATGAACTATTAAATGAAGCCCATGACCCTAGACTAGGTCAAAATAAAAAGATAAAAAAAGAAGCAAATAAAGTGCTACTGCTCTCTCATCGAAGATGAAGGCTACTTTAGCTTTTCTCTCTCGGTCTGTCTTTCTTGTTTCACTTCGCTTCTTTGAGAGGTATGTCTTCTTGTTCTTCTTCTATCCCAAATCTGATTTCATTTTTTTATTTCAGATTCATGCCCAAATCTGCTTCAGATCTACACCCACAGAACATCTTAGATAGAAATGCGATTCTCTCCCCACATACGCATGTTCCTACACGTGGAATCACATTTCTTTGGAAGAAACAACATAGGTTTAGGTGAATCCTTCTACTAAGGGGTGAAGTTTCTACCCTATAAATGCAATTCTGCGGTTCAAAGGAAACATCATTCAAAAAACTGAGATGAGACCGGTCAAACCAAGGACTAGAATTTTTTTCATTTTTACTAAAATGACTAATAAATAGAGACAATAAGAGATTATTTGGAATATGTCTAACAATAAAAGGACGGAGAAAAAAAATAAGAAAAAAGGCTAAAAGAGAAAGGTTGATAGAAAGAAAAAAAAAAAACGGTTTTGATTGGATTAGGTGTCTCGGACTATGTTATATGGACTTGGGTGACGGTATCGAGTGTGGATGTGTATCTAGGGGTCG